GGCGTATGCTGGGGGCCTCTGGGGGCTTCCTCGGGCCGCCCTGCCTCCAACCGCGGTCTCCCTGAGCGACCCGGTCACGATTTGGAATGCTTCGGAAGGTGTCTTGGGGCCATCTTGGGCCGCCATGGGGCTCTCTGAGGGCCATCTTGGACCCGTGTTGTGCCGTTTTGGGGCTCTCTTGGACTGCCTGGAATCCTTTCCGGATGGTTATGGGGTGATTTTGGAGCCTCCCAGGCGGCTTCGGACGCCCGGAAGACCGCCGTCTTGGAGCGTCGGGAAGCCGAAAAGAGGAGAACCCCCAAATCCACCAAAAACCGATAGAAAATCAATGATTTTTGCCTCTTGGGGCCATCTTGGGAGTGCTCTTGGAGGCCTCTTTGGGGCCGTCCTGGAGGCCTCTTGGGCCATCTGGAGGTCACGTCGGTCACTCTTGGAGCGTTCTTGTGCTGTCTTGGGGGTCTCTGGGATGTCTCCGATGACCCCCCTGATCGCCCTAGGTGTGCTGGGAAGGCTTGGCAAAACGCCCTGCGAGGCCTGGGGGGCCGCTTCGAGGCCCGACCGGAGGGTCCCAAAACCCCAGATCCCGGGAGTCAAATTTTTTTTTTGGGGGGGGCTTTCCCCCCGCCGCCAGGGCTTATATAAATATAGGATGAGGAATATATCCGCCCCCACGGTTGAATTACCACAGGGTGGACGGCGTGCCACCGTTTTGAATGGTTTTGGTGCTTCTCAACGGTTAGAGAAACCTTCGGCCCGACGCGCCGGCCACCCGGAGAGCCGCCGAGAACCCACCGTCCGTTCGTCACCCTCTCCAAGATGACCCCCTTCGATGGCCCAAATAAGCCCTCGACGTGGCCCCATGGCGGCCATAGAGGCGCCCAACATGGCCCCAAGACGGCCCAGAAAACCTCCGAGACGCCCAGAAAGACCTGGCCTCCAAGACGGCCCTGATGCGCCCCAAGAAAGCCCCAAGACGGCCTGGACACGCCTCCAAGACGGCTCCCAACGGGCCAGGAAAGCCCTAAGACGGCCATAGGGGCCCCCGAGAGCCCTGTCCTGTTTCTTTTGCTCCTGCTCCTCCTTCTCCTCCTCCTCTTCCTCCTGATGGTATTCGTCGTCCTTTGATATTCATAATCCCTCCTGCACTATGCCCCGTTGATATCTCAATGGTCAGTGGGCGTCGCCGATGACATGGGGAAGAAAGGATAATGCCGTCAAACGTACTCTAGGGTTACGCTGAAAAGACGAAGCCGGCCCGCCGGCCGACGCACGCGCGCGCCGCAGGCTCGCTCCCTTTCCGTTTCCGTAGAGCCAAAGTGTAGCTGCAGGACAGAAGCGGTCAGCGCAGCAGACAGTGCATGCAAGGCTAGAGAGCAGGATGGGCAACAGCATGGTGGTGCGGAAAGGGGTGCGTTGACTCCCCCCGCGGCGGGATCCGTAGAGTCGCCCCGACCCCCAACCCACCGGGCCTGTACAAATGCACAGCCACCGGAGCGAACCCCAAAAGCATTTTACCGCGGAAGACCGAAGTGACCCGACGTACCCCGCCTGAGCAAATATATCCTGGCTCAGGCCACAGTGCCCGTGCACACCTGGTGCACCCGCTTCGTGATGAACTGTGGACCGGCACCGACGAAGTCGTACTGGTCTTTTTTGTACTGCATCACCTCTGCCAGCCACTCCTCCATTCTCGAGAATCATTCCACGTGTTTCTGTTGCTCCAGTTCCACAGGTACTGACCTCTTGGATAATTATCATATCTATCTTCTCTTCTGCTCGAGCTCCAGCTGTTTGGCTGGCTCTTGCCCTGGCCTTCCTCAGGCGGCCTCGCCTGCGGCGTTGGCGGCGGCGGAGGCTCTGGCAAGGTGCTCGGCGTCCCAGAATCACGTTTGAACTTGTCGTTGTAGTCGTTCAATTTAAACCAATGCCAAGTTTTGGTATGACCAGTGACATTCTGGTGACGAGATACATGTACATAGTATCCTTGAACTTCTCCGTTCTCATGCTTGTCCGCATGGTCGCGCGTCGCGTCATTGCCGCCGCCCGTGGCAGGCCAAGCGCCGCCGCCATCGCTCGCGCGGCCGCCCAGCTCTACAATTGACTCATCTGCTCAAGACTGGACTCTATCATCGTTAACCTAGCCAGAATTGGTGCCCGACGCGGCTGGGCCGGCGGGCACGGGAGCATAAGGGGTGGTCCTATGGGATCGCCTCCCTTCCTGGTACCTCGGTCTCGATTCTGGGCGAGAGTGCCGCTGTGCTCGCAGTCCCGAAGCGGCAGTGCCGCTCGGGGTGTCTTCTTCAGCTTCTGTGATTACGGCATCTGCTGGAGACTCTGCTGGGGTGGTCTCTGTGGGAGAGTCGGCTGGGCCGCTCTCCTCCTTTTTCTGCTGAAGGCAACTGGTAAGACCAATGCCGTTGTCTGTGCTGAAGAATCAGAAACGGCTGTTGGCTAGACAAATCTTGGCAGGAACTTGAGGTTCTCTAGACGTATGCATGAAAACGACAGCATCTTGAATCCTTGTGCAATTTTGCATGACGGTCTCTGATACTTCATGTCCCCATCCTTGGGCCCATTCATGAAGTGTTCCGAATAATCCATTAGCGGATCTAATCCGACAATCCAGAGCATGTGCATCACGCATTGCTTCAGGAGCTGCATTCGTATAGTTTGTGTCGCGCTGTGCGTCGTATCCCGGAAATGCAGCAGTGATTCCCGCAGACATGAACCATGATATTACTTCTCGTGCAGCTAACAATATCCGCCCCCATCTCCCGCGAGTGGGGATCCGGTCAAATGGTTGGGCCCATATTCTATTCTCGAGCTCGGACAATTCAGGCGGCGCATGATGAATAACGCCAGTGTCCAATGACATCGTAGTCGGGGATGTTGAGAACTATTCAAGAATGAATTGTGTCGCGACTTTGAAAATTCCTGGCCGGTCATGCGATTCAACGCTGCACTTTGCACTAGACATGCACCCATACATAAAAATCAGATCAAGCCAAAGAAGGCAGCGTTCGCATCGGGATAATCAGCCGATGACGCTTGGTAATGTTTTGAGTGCGTGCGCCATTCGACAACGCAGCTTTCTCTTCACGGGCTAATATCGCATCATCAGCGCGGTTGGGCCGATGATGGAATTCAGTAATTGCCCGGACATCTATGTCTCCAACTTTGATCGATACGGAAACTCGGTTGGCTTCGTTCAAGTTGTCCGTTCACACTTGAACCAATGGAATTGTTACTCCTTTTTCCGCCATTTCTCGTTCCCATTGGTCCCCGCCCGCCCCTGGGCGAATTTGCTCAGTGCTAACATGATTCCAATCGAAAACAGCAGAGGCAGAGTGTCTTAACGGATGAGCGTATTGGTCCAAGTCTGGCGTCCAGATTAACGGCCATTGGGTAGCGGTTGGGGCTTTTTCCCCATGCTTGACTTTCAGCCATTCAATGAATCGGACCTCGAGTGGCTCCAGATAATGAGCGCCGGCGGCTGTGCCGTGCCGCTGTCAGGTCTCCAGGACGGGGCGGTCCCCGGCTGTGAATTTGAAAATGCACAGCCTGCCGAACCAGCCCGGAGACGCATCTGTGGGTTGTTAACCCACTTGCGCTGGCGTTGTTCAGCTTTGTTGCAATTTCCCAGCGAATCAGAAGAACTCTTACTCATCGCTTTCAGCCTGTAGGAAATTATATTGGAGCCGCTTTCCCCTCTTGGGGGTGCGTCTAGACGTGGAGTCAATCCTGGGCTCGTCCATGCAGCAGCCAATGCGTCTCTGCCAGGTGGCGTTAAATAGTCCTTTCGGACGTTGTGTTTGTACGTGACGGGGGTGAGGCATTGCAAGCAATGCCCGGAACCAGAACGCACAGCATGGCATTGATGGCAACTGAACCTCCCATCGTCAGTCCACATTTTCCGCAAGATGCGGGCCCCCTCTTCTTCTGACAATGTACTCTGCCCAACATCGGCAACTTCTTCGCCGGAGAATACCCGCGTTCAAATTGTGCCTTGCGAAAATGCCACCTCATATGCAGTTCAATAGAAAATATCATGTTCCAGACTATCTGCCGGGTGTTTCGTGCATTCTGTTCAACCAGCGGCAATTGCACAATGCGAGAGATGTCATTGAAGCGCGCTTGTCCTGTTGTCACAAGAGTGCCGTCGCGGCAGATGCGATTCCTTAGGCGTGTCACCACGCGCCTTTTAAAGACAACAGCATATCGCAAATTCTCATGATGTGTCGCATCAACTTCCCGGAAAGATGGGGCAATTTCATGAGGCCAGGTTCCCTGAATCGGAGGTCCGCTCCCGGCCGGGGCAACGCCCGCGGCCTGATGGGCCTTTGCGAGCGGG